GTGTGAAAGGTGCAGCTACAGTCCCCATTTAAACGCCCTGGGACGGAGGCTGAACGGCACCAGCTCGCAGTGGCGGGCGTGGCTATGGTTGACCTCAGTGCGTGGCCCAGTGGCCGCCCTGTCAGCCACATGGTATAATGCCCCACAGGATTTCCTTCTCTTTTAAGGCTGAATAATATTCCACTGCGTACATGTACCACATCTTCTTCATCTGTTCACCCATCAACAGATACTCAAGTTGTTCCCATATCTTGGCTCCTGTGAGTTCTGCTGCAATGAACATGGGTGCAGAATTCTCTTCAAAATAGTGATTCTAGCCCGGCTGGCATGGCTCAGTGGTTGAGCATCAACCTATGAATCAGAAAGTCACAGTTCGATTCCAGGTCAGGGCACATGCCCAGGTTTTGGGCTCAATCCCCAGTGTGGGGCTTGCAGGAGACAACCAATCAATTATTCTCTCTTATCATTGATGTTTCTATCTCTCTCCCTCTCCCTTCCTCACTGAAATCAATAAAAATATTTAAATATTTAAATTAAAAATATTTAAATATATTCTATTTCTTTTGGATAAATACCTAGAAGAGGGATTACTGGCTCATATGATGGTTCTTTTTTTAAATTTTTAAGGAGCCTCCATACTGTTTCTGTATTGTCTGTACTAATTTACATTCCTATGGACAGCATACAAGGCTCCCCTTTTTCCCTCATCTCTGCCAACATTTATTATCTTTTGACTTTTTGATGATAATTCTAACACTTTTTATTTACATTTCCCTAATGACTAGTGATGTTGGTCATCTTTTCATGTACCTATTGGCCGTTTGTATTTCTTCTTTGGAAAAATGTATATTCAGGTCCTTTGCCCGTTTGTTTGTCTCTTTTTTTGAGTTGTATAAGTTTCTTGGAGATTATCAGATACATATAACTGGGTGTATAAGATATAAGCTTATCAGATAACTTATTTACAAATATTTTCTCCCATTCCATAGGTTGTCTTTTCATTTTGTTGATGGTTTGCTGTGCAAAGACTTTTTAGTTCGATGTAGTCCCACTTTTTTGGTTTTACTTTTGTTTGCCTGTGCTTTTGGTGTCAAATCCAAAAAAAAAAAAAAAAATCATTATCAAGGCCAATGCCAAGGATCTTTTCCCTATGCTTTCTCCTAGGAGCTATACAATTTCAGGTCTTATATTTAAGTCCTTAATCCATTTTCAGCTGGTTTTTGTATATGGTTTGAAACAAAAGTTCTTTTTCATTCTTTTGCATGAGGATATGCAGTTTTCCCAACACCATTTATTAAAGAGACTGTCATTTCCCCATTGTGTATTCTTGGCACCTTTGTCAAAGATTAGTTGACCTTATATATGTGTGTCTATTTCTGGGCTCTCTATTCTGTTCCGTTAGTCTATGTGTCTATTTTTATTCCAGTATTTTGATTACCATAGCTTTGTAATATAGTTTGAAATCAGGGAGTAAGATGCCTCCAGCTCTGTTCTTGCTCAAGATGGCTTTAGCTATTTGCAGGATTATTTTCTCTATATTTGTGAAAAATGTCATTGGAATTTTAATAGTGTTTTGAACTCGTAGAACACTTTGGGTAGTATGGACATTTTAACAATACTCTTCTGATCCATGAACACGGCTATCTTTTCACTTATTAATGTGTTTATATTTTCAATTTCTCCCATCAATGTTTCATGGTTTTCAGTGTACAGATCTTTCACCTCCTTGCTTAAATTTATTCCTAAGTATCTTTTTTATTTTATTTTTGATGGTATTGTGAATGAGATTTTTTTAAATTTCTTTTTCAGATAGTGCATTATTAGTATCTAGAACTACAACTGATTTTTGTACATTGAGTTTTGTGTCCTGCAACTTAACTGAATTAGTTTATTACCTTTAACAAATTTTTGGTAGGGTCCTTAGGGTTTTCTATATATAAGATCATGTCATCTGCAACTAGTCATAATTTTCCTTCTTTTTCAATTTGAATGCCTTTTATTTCTTTTTCTTGTTTGATTTTTCTGGCCAGAACTTCTGGTACTGTATTGAGTAGAAGTGGCAAGAGTGAGCATCTTTGTCTTATTCCTGATCTTAAAGTAAAAGCTTTTTACCATTGAGTATGGTGTGAGGTGTGGAGTTGTATATGGCTTCTATTGTGTTGAGGTACATACCTTTTATATCTATTTTCTTAAGAGTTTTTATCATGAAAGGAGAAATGCTCTTTTCTGCATCTATTGAGATGGTCATATGATTTTTATCCCTAATTCTGTTAATGGGGTTATCACATTTATTGGTTTGCAGATGTTGAAACATCCTTGCATGCCAGGGATAAAATCCCACTTGATCATGGTACAGGATTGTTTAATATGCTGTTGAATTTTTTTGCTAATAAGTTTGTTGAGGATTTTTTTTTATCAGCAATATTGTCCTGTAATTTTCTCTTTATGCAGTGTCCTTATTTTTTGGAAGAGTTGGAAAAGAACTGGCATTAATTATTTTTGTGTGTTTTCTTTTTGTTTGTTTGTTTGTTAATTCTCACTCAAGGATATTTTTCCATTTCAGAAAGGGTAGAAGGGAGGGGGTGAGAGAAACATTGATGTGAGAGAAACACATTGATTGGTTGCTTCCCACACATGGCCCTACCAGGGCTGGGCAACCTGCAACCGAGGTACATGCCTTGTCCTGGACTCAAACCCATGACCCTTGGGTCCAAGGGCCAACGCTCTAACCACTGAACAAAACAGGCCATGGCTGGCATTAATTCTTCTTTAAATATTTTGTAGAATTCACCAGTGAAGACATCAGTCCTGGGTCCTTTCTTTGTTGAGGAAGGTTTTAAATTACTGATTCAATATCCTTACTCATTATTGGCCTGTCAGATTTTCTGTTTCTTCGTGATCAGTCTTGGTAGATTGTATATTTTTTTAGGAATTTATTCATTTCTTATGGGTTACCCAATTGTTGGCATGTAATTGTTCATAATAGTCTCTTATGACCCTTTATATTTCTATAGTATCAGTTGTAATTTCTCTATTTATTTGTTTATTTTTTTTATTTTGTTTTGTTAATCCTCACCTGAGGGTATTTTTCCCATTGATTTTTAGAGAGAGTGGAAGGGGGAAGGGCAGAGACCCAGAGAAAGAAACATTGATGTGAGACACATTGATTGATTGTCTGCTGCACAAGCCCTGACTGGGCCAGGGATCAAGCTGCAACCGAGGTACATGCCCTTGACTGGACTTGAACCTGCGACCCTTCAGTCTGCAGGCTAACACTCTAAGCACTGAGCCAAACTGGCTAGGGTTCTCCTCTTTTATTTTTTATTTAATTTATTTTTTATCTCTCTTGCTTTAGTCTCACTAAATATTTGTCAATTAAAAACAAACACAGGTCTCACTCTGCTGATGTTGCCTGTAACATTTACACTGTCATAGACTAAGGGAAAACCAGCTCCCTTGGAGATTTAAAAAAACAGGTCTCAGTTTTGTTGATTTTTTTCTACTGTTTTTCTAGCCTGTATTTTATTTATTTTCACTCTGATCTTTTTATCTCTTCAGCTAAGCCTGGACTTAGTTTGTTGTTCCTTTTCTAGTTCCTTGAGGTGTTATATTGATTGAGTTTTTTTTCTTAATGTAGGCACTAAACTATTAATAACCCTCTTAGAACTGCTTTTGCTGCATTACACAAGTTTTTGGTTTCCATTTTCATTTGTTTCAAAATATTTTTTTCCCTTCCCTTTGTATTCTTCTTTGACTCATTGGTTGTTCAGGGTGTGCTGTGTAATTTCCACATACTTGTGAAGTTTCCAGTTTACTTTCTGTTATTGATTTCTAGTTTCATACTGTTGTGGTCAGAAAAGAATCTTGATATGATTTCAACCTTCTTAAATTTGTTAAGATTTGTTTCGTGACCTAACATATGATCTGTTCTGAGGAATGTTCCATGTCCACATGAGGAGGCTACAGGGCTGTCCAGTGTGTCCATGCTGATTTTCTGTCTGGATGATCTGTCTGTTGTCAAAAGTGGGAACTGTATTGCTGTCTATTTCTCCCTTCAGATCTGCTAATATTTGCTTTATATATTTAGGTGCTCTTCTTTACAATGATTTAAAATTAGTGATGAGTTTAAGCAGTATTTGGAAAACTCTTTTACAATTAAATTTGTGCTGTCACATTGGTCAGTATGGGTGACAAACTCACTATGAATACTGTTGTGGTTTGTTGCTTACTTTCATGCATAAGGAAATAGCAAATTCCAGTTAGAATTTGGTAACAATTAAAATAGAATTTTTTCCAATAAATTTACTATAAGCTCCTGGTAACTCCTGGTTCAAGTCCAGGATTTCGCCCAAGTCCACTCATCCCTCAGGCTCAGTGAGGGAGATCCCATTCAAAGTCATGACCCAGCCTCCCTTACCCTTCGAGTAGCACTTCAGTATTCAGTCATTCATCCGGCAAATATTGAGCACTGGCCCTATGACAAGTGGTGAGATCCAAAGTCACCATCTCAAGGAAGAGCACCATAGGTACCATTCCAACATGCAAAATGTAGCCGAGCAGAGGACCATGCCTACCCTTCCTGGCAATCACAGATAACACCCAGCGATGGTGAGGTTGGGGTCAACAGTCACTATGGATAGTAACACTGTCCACCACATACTCCTTTGAAGTAAGCATGGCATTGACTCGCATGGTATTGGAAATCCCACACCCTGCTCACTCAGCACTCTCACTCTTGCGCATTTGTCCCAAAGAAATAATTTAGCAGGAAGGACACAGGGTGGAGGGCAGAGGTCCTTCCCCCTCCTCTTCCTGCACATGTGCCCTCCTCAGGGAGGGGCTGGGTCTCACTCAGCTTGTGGCTCCATGCTGGCACCTCTAGCATTGATGAGGGCCTGTTGGGTGAATGTTTGACCAGCATGCAGTGAACAAGACACAGAGCTGACAGGAAGGGCAGTCCAGGAGTCCTCCATTGACCAGGCCACTGTTTTCTCTTCCAGCCACCAATACGCCAGGAGAGATGGACAAGCCACTGATCAGCCGCCGCCTGGTGGACAGTGATGCCAGCCTTGCCGAGGCTGCCAGTGGGGCCCCCAAAGTGGGCATCCTGGGCACTGGGGACTTTGCCCGGTCCCTGGCCACACGCCTGGTGCGCTCTGGTTTCAGCGTGGTGGTGGGAAGCCGCAACCCCAAACGCACGGCTGGGCTGTTTCCCTTGGCAGCACAGGTGGTGTTCCAGGTGGAGGCGGTGGACTCCTCTGAGGTCATCTTTGTGGCCGTGTTCCGGGAACACTACTCCTCGCTGTGTGGGCTCAGCAGCCAGCTAGCCGGCAAGATCTTGGTGGACGTGAGCAACCCCACAGAGCAGGAGCACCTTCAGCACCGCGAGTCCAATGCTGAGTACCTGGCCGCCCTCTTCCCCACCTGCACAGTGGTCAAGGCCTTCAACGTCATCTCTGCCTGGACCCTGCAGGCTGGCCCAAGGGATGGGAACAGGCAGGTAGGTGCGGTGGGGCGGGGGACGGGGAGGGGGGGGATGCGGAAGGGAGGGAGGAGTGTACGGAGATAACAACCATCATGACGATAAATATAATGGCTAGCTTTCCTGGGGGCCCTCAGCACACCAGGCTCTTTGTGCTCATTGTCTCAGCTCATCTCACATCTGTGCAGTTCCATTTCACAGACAGGAAACAGGCGCAGAGATAGTGATGAATTTACACCAGGCCCCACCGTTGGCAACCTGGGATTTGAACCCATTTCCTGTGAATCTGAAATTCATATTCTTTTTCTATGGTAACTTGATTACCTAGGGAGCAAGGAGGAAAAGGTTGATGGCTTGCCTTTTGTATTTTTTCATTTTTTAAATAATTCTTTATTATTGAAAGTATTACATATGCCCTACCCCCCGCCCCACATTGACCCCTCCAGCCGATGGCCTGATTTTTATGTTTAAAGTCAAGAAGGGAAGAAACTTTGCTTTTAGAATTGGACTCAGAAGAAGGAAAGGAACACACTCATGTGCCAAGCCCTGAGGAAGCGTGTATGTCCCCGGGTTTCACCCATTTATTCAGAGGGCTTCCCGGAACTAGCAGGCTTTTCTGAGGGTGGAAAATGGCTCCGGAGAACGGCCCGAGCTGCCCACAGTTCTTGGCAGGAGGAGCTCTTACCAAGACCAGGTAGTGTTTAATACCAAGAGGCCAAGCATTTTCCTGGAGGAAGGGGCCAGGACCCACATATGTGTGAGAACTCCCGCCAGATGCCGCTGCACAGCTGCATGCCAGGCTGGGGAGAGCAGCTTGCATCCTAGGGCCCCCACGTGTGGACAGGCCAGGAACAGGGGGTGAGTGGGGGTGGCAGGGCTTGGAGGAAATAGAGCTAGCAGCTGGCTGGGGGAGCCTTTGAGGTCGGCCTGGGCCTGCGCCTTAGCCTTGCCCTTGCCCACATCATGTTGTTGTGCATAGTGAGCAGCAGGGCGTTTCGGGCTGAGGAGGCACCTGCAAAGTCATAGACCTCAGTTTCCTCACCTGAAAAATGGGGACAATGGTGCCAGGCAGGGGTAAAGCCCGGTACACAGTATGTGCCGAGTCGGTGTTGGTAGAACACGCTGACCACAGCAGTGTCATAAGGCCCATGGAGGGTTTAGGGACAGAACCAGGGTGCGTGCATGTGAGCTCACGGTGGGAGCCATGAACTGAGGCTGGGGTGTGTTGGCTGAGGGTCATGGGGGCCGAGGAACATGACCAAAAGGGACACTCTGGACTGAGGGGTAGAGCTGCACTCCCAGCTACATGTAGAGCCCAATTGCCAAGTGCCCTCGAGAGCACAGTCCTCGATGCAGCTCTTCCCAGGTGAGCACTGTGGATGCTGATGGTAATGACTGGGCGACACGTTCACTGCTGGGTGGGCCCGGTGCTCCCCTGAGTAGTGGGCATTGCTGGGCCAGAGTCTGGGAGGCCACAAGGGGCCCAGGGAAGACCCCGGGCCTAAGTGTCAGGGCCACCTCTGTGCCCAGCTATACTGTTAACTGGCACCACTGGGCCTCGGTTTTCCAGCTGCTCAGTGGGGAGTTTGGCTCTGATGCTCTCTGAGGCTCTGCCCACCCCAGTGGCCTGTGACCTGGTCTGATTCCCCTTCGCCTCCCTCCCACAGGTGCCCATCTGTGGTGACCAGCCAGAAGCCAAGCGCGTCGTCTCCGAGCTGGCGCACGCCATGGGCTTCATGCCCGTGGACATGGGGTCCCTGGCCGCGGCCCGGGAGGTGGAGGCCAGGCCGCTGCACCTCCTCCCGAGCTGGAAGGTGCCTGCCATCCTGGCCCTGGGGCTCTTCGTCTTCTTCTACGCCTACAACTTCGTCCGGGATGTGCTGCAGCCCTACGTGCAGGAGGGCAAGAGCAAGTTCTACAAGCTCCCCCTGTCCGTGGTCAACACGTCGCTGCCGTGCGTGGCCTACGTGCTGCTGTCACTGGTCTACCTGCCCGGCATCCTGGCGGCCGCCCTGCAGCTGTGGCGCGGCACCAAGTACCGCCGCTTCCCCGACTGGCTGGACCACTGGCTGCAGCACCGCAAGCAGATCGGCCTGCTCAGCTTCTTCTGCGCCGCCCTGCACGCCCTCTACAGCGTCTGCCTGCCCGTGCGCATCTCCTACCGCTATGACCTCGTCAACCTCGCCATCAAGCAGGTACAGTCCTTGTCACCAAGGCCAGCCGTGCCCATGGGTGTGACCCGCCAGCCACAGTGAGCAGCAGGGCATCCCGGGCTGAGGAGACAACCTGCAAAGGCTCAGGCCTCAGTTTCCTCACCTGACAAATGGGGACAGTGGCACCTATCCACAGGCCTGTGCAGGGCTGAGGGTTCGCAGGGGGGAAGCCCGGTACACAGTACGTGCCGGGTCAGTGTGCCTCTCGTCTTCTGTGGATTCTGCCCTGACCAGGCAGAGCACACATCCTGCTGTCCAAGATTTTGAGTATCCATGAACCACCTATGAAAATCCCTGTGCTCATGGGCACAGCCCGGCAGGGGACTTAGCCACATACTGCAGTAAGTTACAGAGGACTTTTAGAAGGTCTGAGAGCTATCGAGAAAAATTAAGCAGGGGCCAGCGGTGGGGTACAGTTGTAACGGGTGGTCAGGAGGCCTTGCTGAGGGGGAGGCAGAGGAGAAGCAGGGAGCAGCCAGAGCAGAGGCCCTGGGGGGGCAAGGGGGTTGCCTGGCACATGTGAGGAGCAGCCAGGGGGCCCCTTGTGGCTGGACCCGAGGGAGGGGGTGGTGGGTGAGGCCTGATGGGTTGGAGTCAGACCAGGGAAGCCTGTGAGGCTGAGGGAGCCAGTGAAGGCTTTTAGTAGAGGAGTGAGGATCCAGCTGATGTTGCCACTGGCTCACTCTGGCTGTTGGTGCAGAATAGACAACAGGGGGTTGGAGGCAGATGCTGAGAGAGCAGGCAGGGGCTGTGCGGGAGCCCAGCTGAGAGGCAGGGAAGGTTTGAGAGGTGGGCAGTGGAGGGGCAGGACGGCATTGAGGCGGGCACACAGACTTGTGATGGACAGGGGGTGGTCAAGGTAACTCCGAGCTTTGGCCTGAGCACCTGGAGGAATGGTGATGCCATCAGCTGAGGGGAGGAAGGCTGCAGGAGCAAGATATTCTTTTTCATGGCTGGGGGAGCGGGGGGAGTATTCAGTCACTTAAGGAACCCACACGCTGCTCTCTTGCCAGCAGGATTCCTGTGAAATGGGGCCTTCATGCCAAGGCAGGTAGCAACACAGGCGCACCAGCTGGCACCTGGACCCACAGAAGCAGGCCCCCTGAGCTGTCTCCTGGCTGACAAGCTCATGGGGCGCAAGCTCAGGTCTGCAAGAGACACAGTCTTTCTGTAGGGTCCCCAACCTCCCTGATTCCACCTCCTGCCCTCTGGACTGGTGTTTGGGTTCACAGGCAGTCACCCAGCAGGCTCTGGCCCAGGTGCCAGTGAGACACTGCTCGTCCATCCCTCTTTCCAGCCCTGATGGTCCCTGCAGTTTCTGTTCCAGCCTAGGGGGTGCAGGGATTGTGGTGGGGCCGCACCCTCCCCAGGTGCACCCGCCGTCCCCTCAGTGGCTGGGCCACATCCCAGAACAGGACCGGGAGTCGAGGCTGGGTCACTGCCTGTGAACCACAGACCTCAGCCTCTGCTCATTCTCCACCTCCCTGCTGGCAGCTTCTCCAATGCCCTCGCCCTTCCCACCCTCAGACTCCTGGCATCACGCATCTGTGGGCTTGGCCTTTCATAGGAGAAGCGGACGCCACGCTCGAGGCAGGGGAGCAAGATGCCTGCTGGAAATGAGGGGAAGGGGAAACTGTAGTCACAAACCTTTAAAACGAGCGTGCTGCGTTCCAGGTGCTAGTGTAAAGGCCTCACACCCTCCGTGTGAATTCATTTAAGCCTTCTCCCGCCCCGTAAGCCAGTGTGCTGTACTGCCTTTATGTTGCATATGAGCCACAGAGAAGTTAAATAACTTGACCGAAGTCACACAGCCAGTAAGTGGCAGAACTGGGATTCAGGTCCAGCCACCCCTGATCCATGCTCATAACCAGACCGCTTTCTGCAGGGGAAGCAAGGCCAGGTGAAAAGTTGAGTGGATGAACTCAGATCATTATCCCATTCATTCCCTGAGCACCTTCTCTCCAGGTCCTGGGGTCACAGAAGGGAATGAGACTAGACAGCCTGGTCCCTTCCCTCGGCTGGGGCGGGGACTGGGAGGCCCTGAAGGCCAGAGCCCCCCTTTTGTCCTAGGGCCCTGATGTGGATGTAGATCAAGGCCTCTCCTAGTGCTAACGTTTTTGATTCTTTGATGGTATTTTCTCCGAAAAAGGGCGGCTCTGCGCGGCTCCTCTGGGACTGGCACCGTGTTTGCTGCCCAGGAGGTGACAGATCTGAGTGGCAGGCATTTCAGGCAGTGGGTGGGGAGGAAGGTAATGCTCCTCCCCTGAGCCCAAGGCAAACCCGGGCCCCGCCCACACACAGCCTCCTAAGTTCTCCGCCCTGCCAAGGCTCTCCTGACAGGATGCCCACCCCGTGTTGCCAAGAAGCAAATAGTAGGGCACAGCGGGCACATGCCAAGCAGCTTCCCTGAGTTCCAAAGCCCTTCGGGCTGGAGGCCCTGGTGGAGCTTGCCAGGCAACCATCACTCCCAGTGGACTGGATCACTCTCTGAGTAGGAGTAGCGCAGGCCTGTCACACAAAGGGGCCTAACCTTGGCCTGCAGAGCTCTGGAGGGCAGAGCAGGGTGATGTCAGGGAGGGGGTAGAGGAAGGCGGGGCTAACAGAGCAGAGCTGCTGAATGGTGAGCCCCCTGGCCGGAGGTGCTCTAGCAGATGCTGAGTCTGCGGGTCAGCCTTGTGCTCAGGCGCTGAGACGGGACATCGAGGCTGTTCTGCAGTCAGCTGGTCACAGCAGGGCCTCCGGGTGCCTGGTGTGTGGCTTTCCCATCCTGCCCTGGGGCCTCCCCTCAGGGCCTCCAGGTGGGTGCACATTCACCATCCCAGCTGCCCTGTGGGCCTTTGCGGGAGGGGATCGCACTAGCTAGGGTACTGGAGGCAAGGTTTCCACCACGCCCCTGAGGCCACAGACTTGGAGGCAGAGCTGCATCCCGGCTGCAGAGAAAACCTCTGGCCATGTTTATTGACTGTATTTCTACGAACAATAACTGATATTTGCACAGTGATTTCTAAGGTGCTCTGTGGTTCCCTAGAAATGCATTTCAAGATCAGGATCAAAGAAAGTGTTTAACCAACAGGTTTCTTCTCGCCCTCGCCCCGGATCTAATCTTGGCTGCCAGGGAGAACTGTCTAAAACTCACATTTGACCATGTCACTGCTGAAGAGCGCTCGGCGACACCCCACGCCATGGGGCAGTGACAGACTGTTGAGCTTGCAGCCTCCTCACCCAGCCGCGTCTCCGCACTGCTCCGTGACCCGTCCCCCTAGGTCCCACATGACCTGTGAATGGGCAAAGCTCATTCCCCTGGGCCTGGGCTCCCCACCTGGAGGCAGCTTAGCAGCCTGCCAAGCTCCTGCTCACCCTTCACAGCCCTCCTGCTGCCCGCCCCCAGCCCATCTCCCCCATCTCCATGCTCACCTCCACCAAATGCATGCTGTGCACACTTCTGTGATGTTTCTCGTGCAACACTGTGCTCCCTCATTTGCACGTCTGTCTTCCTCCATGACCGGGCCTTCACCGCTGGAGGCCCATGTGTGTGACACAGATTCCCACCACATGTTCCCTGAGTGGCTGATAGTTAACGTGGCCACACAAAGCCAACACCAGGTGTCTCTTAAGAGGAGCCCATGTGGAACTTGGAGCAAGAGCTAGCCCACCTGCCCGGTTCTCAGTGGAACAACGGCACCAGCCACCTGCTGCGTGCCAGTCACCTGTGACCTGTGCCACGAACATCCTCCTCTCAGTCCTGGCGACAGCGCAGTAAGAAAGAGACAGCCCTGCCCTTAGCCAGGGCCCCAGGTTGCCCCAGGCAGAGGTGGCATGGAATCCAGCCCTGGGACTGCGAAGCCATCCCCCACCACCCAGGCTGCCCTTCCACACCCAGCCTCCCCCTCCTCTGGGCCGGCACCACTCTCGTCCCATCCATAAGCCACCTGGGGACACAGAGAGGGGCTGGTGCTGCAGCCCTGCTGGCCCTCCTGGCCCTGCAGCCTACAGGGGAGGGAAATCCCACGCGACTGCCGCCACCATTGTATTGTCTGTTGATGAACAACTCTCATCAGTCTCCAGGCGGCGCCTCCATGAGCTCTAGGGCAGTGGTTCTCAGCCTTGGCTGCACATTAGAATCCCCTGGGAATCTTTGTAAAATCCTGATTTCTCGGCCCCATCCTCCGGAAATTCTGTTTCTTTGTTATGGGGCGGGGCCACAACGTTAGTAACAAAGAAACAGAATTTCTGGAAAGTGGAACTACCCGGGCGAGTGGAGAGCTGTCAGCTGTGTTCCGGCGTGTGTGGTGCTGGTCACTGGGAGCTCTGAGTCCAGCTCTGGGGTTCAGTAGGCTGGGCGAGACTCACCGGCTATGGAAGGGAGCTGGGTCCAAATCCTCATGCAGGCTCCACACCACCCACTGCTCCCTCGTGACCCCCCTCCGCCCTCCCCAGCACCCCTACAGAGTAGAAGTATTACAGGGAAAAACAAGACATTTTGCAAGCAACTGTGGGGTGTGTGTAATCATCCAAACTCCGACGGGAGACATGAGCTGCCTGATCTGACCGCCATGCCCAGGCAGTGACTGAGGAAGCAGACTGCGCACAACCTGCACCTACAGGACTTCGCGGTGGTTAGACTTCTCTGGCTCAGTTACGCGGATGCCGTCTGCCCTCGGCGCTGTCAGCCACCTTTCCAGCTAGTCCGCTAGCAGCAGTCCCAGGGTTTTAGGTGTGACCTCACCACGTGCTCAGGTGGACGAAGGAAGCCCAGGGTCACACATGACTTGTCAGGACGAGAAGCTGGGTCCCCAGAGTCCTGATTCTTTTGAGGCTTAAAGACACCAGAGTGGGCCAGCCTGCCCTAAATTAGAACAGACGCGACCATTCACTCAAATTGCAGGATAAGTACCCAACGGATGGCATTTTCTTCATTTTTTATACTTTCATAAGCTACTCAGCATTCTGCTCAGCCCACTAGATTACTTTTAATGTTATATCTGGTTACTGGGCTTGGGTTTTGGGGGGTTTTTTTTCCTGCTCTGCCTGAAATCTCGGCGATTCAACAAGGGCGGAAAGTTAGGTACTGCTCTATATACTTGTATTTCACTGTGTTGTGCGAAGCAGAGGCCTGGCTGCTGACGCGTGGTCACGGTTCCTAACGGGAAGACTTCCTCCCACGCTGGATAAAGCCCCAGCGTGTCACGGTGTTTCTCAGAGAACACCTCGGCTTCCAGGAACTCCGCCACCTGCTCTCGGTGGCAAATGGCACTTCTAACAGAATGACCTTGATAAAAGCTCCTTGTGTGTGTGCGCTGTGTGCCTGAGTGTCGGCCGGGCTGGGAGGAGGCTCAGCTAAAGACATGCTGGGTGGGGAGGAGGGTAGAAACCTCCACGCCCACGGGGATCCCTGATTTGTGTGTCCCAGGAGCTCGGGGGAATCCCAGAGCTCTGTGAGGACAGGTATCCGGGCGCTCTGCAGCCCAGGCATGATACACAGTAGGTGCTTTATAAGTGCTTGCTAGGGTGCTTGGTGAGTGTGTCAGTCCCTGTGGCCTGGCAGTGGTAAGCCAAAGCCACATACCTCCGACAGAAATGGGGGTCTGGGTAGGAAGGTGGGAGCTGGGGCACTAGTGTCTGGGTGTCTCTGTGTGCACTGAGTGTGAGGCAGTGACGGGGCAGGTTGGGGGACCAGGAAGGCAAAGGGTCAGAGAGCAAGCAGGTGGCAGAAACAGGGGCCCACCTGGCTGATGGGATTCCGAACTAGGAGAGCTCCTCCCTCGTTTGGGGGCCTTGGTGACATGGTCGTGTGCGCAGGGTCTGCTTGTCTGCTGACTTCTCTGACTCTCGCCGGCTCATGTGACCATTGGGCCCGCTGGCCCAGGCAGATCTGTGAGAGCCCAGGGAGGGAGCCCAGGTCTTTGGGGCCAGTCTGCCTGGGTCCTGTCCCACTCGCCGCCTCCTAGCTGGTGTGACCGTGGGGCAGAAACTTCGTCTCTTTGCCTCGTCTCCCTGTTCTGTACAACAGGGAGAAGGAGACCTCACCCTCGTGGATGGCTGTGAGACTTAGATGGCCTGACACCTGAAAGCGCTTAAGAGCAGAGCCAGGCCCGTGTTGCGTGCGGCCGTTACTCCGTGTCTGGCATCTGAAGGTACCTCTCGCCGCACCCCAGGGCACGGTGTTCACGTTCCCCTTCCATCCCCATCAGGTCTTGACCAACAAGAGTCACCTCTGGGTTGAAGAGAATGTCTGGCGGATGGAGATCTACCTCTCCCTGGGAGTGCTGGCCCTCGGCACGTTGTCTCTGCTGGCTGTCACCTCCCTGCCGTCCATCGCAAACTCACTCAACTGGAGGGAGTTCAGCTTCGTTCAGGTAAAGCAGGGCTGCCTGTGGCATGAGCCTCAGCCCGGCCTCCCCCGCCTGGCGTGTGCCCGCACCTCCCCCTTTGCACACGGCCTCGGTTGTGGTAATCACAGCAGGACTGCTCGGTCAGGTGCCAGGGCTTCTGGGCCCGGCCCAGTGCCCGATAAAGGGCTGCCTGGGACCAGCTCATTCTCCTGGCATCTGGGGAAGCAGATATAAGCGTGTGAGAAGAGTAGACAACAGACCACTGAGCCCTGGAGTAAGCAGGGTCAGTTTCACAATTCTTGAGCTTCCCAAACCAAACCTCATGATGTGCAGTCACTGGACATCACTGGCGGGGGGTCAGTGTGCTAGGGAGTGAGCCTAGCTGACCACCCAGCACCTCCTCTCAACCCAGCCCTGTGGGTCCTGTAACCCTGGAGGTGAGCACTGGGAGGTGGGCATCGTGATTGCCAGTTTATAGCGGATGTAACACAGCATCTCCCAAAGGACCCCGTTCCCGTGAGAAACCCAGAGAAGAGGAGGTCTGTAGTCAGATGAATCTGAGAAAAGGTTTGCTGCCCCCCAAGAGAGGCACAGTGCACTTTGGCACACCGGAGATTCTAATAATGTCTACAACACAAACCTCGATAATCAGACTTCTTTTTTTAATGTATTTTTATTTATTTCAGAGAGGAAGGGAGAGGGAGAGAGAGATAGAAACATCAATGATGAGAGAGAATCATTGATCAGTTGCCTCCTGCACGCCCCCTACTGGGGATTGAGCCCACAACTCAGGCACGTGCTCTGACCAGGAATGGACCCCAGGATGCTTTCATCTGCAGGCTGACGCTCCATCCACTGAGCCCAACCGGCCAGGGCAATAACCAGACTTTGGGCACTATCTGCACTCCACAGAATACACTTGAGACATGCTGCTCGTGACGAAAGGTTCTTTATGCATTTATTCATTCAATAACTGTTTATTGAGCACTTACTGCATGCCAGCCATCGGGCGAGGTCTGGGGTATGACAAGGAACAAGACAGGCATAGCCACGTTTCAATGATAAGGACATCTGAGACGGACGTTTTCCACATGGTTGGCATCTGCCATTGTTCCCCAGGCAGAACACGTGGCAAGCTCCCGGTGTTGGTGGGTTCACTCTCCCCTCCCACGCAAGGAGCTGAGGAGACTGGATTCCGCCCCCGCTATGGTGGCAGGCCGAGGGCAGCTATCGTATCCACCTCCACTGTCAACGAAAACCTGTTGCAATCTTCTCTCTGCAGTGAGGACAGAGTACGGGATTCGAAGAGGGACACCGACAGTGCAGGGCTCCATGTAACCCATTCTTCGCCCCTGACTGGGACCATTTACACAGCTCAGAATCAGCCAGTGCTGTGGCGGTTTCTTTTCTAAGTGAGTCAGTTTCTGAGTCTCACTGGCTCTGCTCAGCTCAGCAGGCCCCTGAGGAATGCTCAGGGCTGACACATGCCGGCATTAGAGGGGAAAAAGAATTTCATTTATTGGCCACTAATCCACCTGTGTTGCACACCCAAAGCTAGGATTTTCCTGTTCCTGCCCGAGTATCCCGGAGTGCCTGGTTTATCCACAATTAAAACAGACTGCAGTTGCTTCTCTCACCAGAAAGTTGCTCCCTTAAGCAGCCGCAGATTACAAGCCGGCCGCCGGCTGCCCAGGAAAGCCGGAGGATTTGGATTTGTTAACCAAACTGACTGGGGCCTCAGCAGCCGCACTCCGCTTTACATATTGAAGAGTCGAAAAGACAAACATGAAAGTCCCCCTGCCACTGCGGGAGTAGCGGGATTGTCGGATGGGAGGTGGGGAGAGAGGCAGGGCTTTACTTGTGGAGATCAGTTGCCTGCATTCTGTCCAGGGAAGCAAACGCCCTGTCTCCCCCAGGAGTGCTGACAGGAGGGGGAGCTGTGAGTGCCCTGGAGCCCGGCCCTGGCTGTCACCGGACACAGAGCACATCCTCCCAAGCCTCTTGTAAAATGGAGCTGGTGCGCTACAAGGATGCTCTGAGCCACTGTGAGGGGTTATGTGTGAAAGAGAAAAGGCATTTTGCTATTATTCTTACAGTATGCAGCCACATTTCCATTATCCCTGACTAAGCTACCAATCAGTAGGAGGCAGGCGGCGAGAGAGGTCAAGGAACTCCGACCCTGGGCAGGAGAAGGTCCAGGTCACCGTTAGCAAACTGTGATTGATACTTATTGGTGGTCATGAAATCAATTTGTGGCTCGCAGCCATCCTTTTAAAAACATGAACTAGAGTAGAATGGGGAAGAAAGCATCAGAGGGCTTTGCATGTTGCATTTTTTAAGTTGCGATGATTCAGTAGTTCCATATACACGTGTCATGCCTGGTTGTGTACGGGGCAGTGATGTGTGATTCTGACTGTGAGCCACCATCAAAAACGCTGGAAGGACAGAGCTCTCTCTTCGAGAACTACGCAGGCTCCTCCCTGACCTCTGAGCGCAGATGCCTGGGGGTGGCTTGGGTGGCTCTGGAAGTTGGTTTCTGCTGGCTCCTGGGTGCCTCTTAGGTGTGCATGATGCAGTCCCTCTGAGGGAGGGGACACAGGTTTGGAGCCGGCAGACCTGAGTTTCAGTCCTTCGACCACCACTCTCTGGCCTGGTACCATTAGACAGTGTTTTAGCCTCTCAGAGCATCTGTGTCCTCACTTATGTCTGTGTCCACGTCCTCTGGCCATTGGTAGTATTTGAGTTGAGGACAGGGAGAGTGCATGAGTGGAAGACGTGTAAAAGTCCCGAGGCCAGTGGTGGCTGCCTGATTGCTGAGGCAAGCTGCCATCTTCTGTAAAGTTAGCATGGCCATTGAGGATCAAGCTGACCCCAATGCCTTCCCCTGCTACACACGACCCAGCAAGCCACCGGGCTTATCAACTGGCTGTGGAGATGCCATGGCTCTCCGTGGGCCCAGCTGACCCTGGGTCCTGACTGATTTATTTAGCCAAAAGCTTTCAAAACAGTGCATTGGTTCCACAGAGGTGACTTGTGCATACATTTGTCCTTTTGTTCCCGAGGCCATCTTCAAACTATTAAATTTGGATTTTTGTTTGTTTGGGTGGTGGTGGTGGAATTGTTTTAATCTGGTTTGGGCTGTGCTAACTGCTCCTAATTAAGCCAGTTAAACATCATTAGATCGCAGGAGAGGGCACTGGATGGCCAAGTAGGTGGATGCTGCACTCACCTCCTCCCATGAACACTAAATTGCAACTAAATTACAGAGCAATCAACCTGGAGAACCATCTGAAGACTAGCTGAACAGAAGTCATATACCTGAGGATATAAAAAAGCCACGTCAAGGAGGGGCAGAGACACAAAACGGGCTGGCCACACACCCAAGTGTGGCAGTTGAGAATCCGAAGGGATGTCTCAGTGGCAGAGGCCCCCCTGAGGAGTGAGGAGTGTCAGCCTCATGCTGGGCCCTCGAAGAGGCCGCAGAACCAACACACCCACTGGCTGGCCTCAGACCACAACAGAGCACCACTCAATTGATCCACAAGTAGCACACCCAAAGGGAGGACTAAGCAGGTACCAGACCCTGCTGGGGCAAATTCCATTTCATGGGGTCTCCACACAGTAGCTCATACACTGTGGTGAGGTCAGCCACACTCATAGACATGCTGGCAGCAATCAAGGCTGAACTACAACCAGAGGGCCCACATAACCCACACAAGGGACACTCCTGGAGAGCCCAGCTCAGAGGATCAGGACACTATGCCACTGGGCCCCACAGGACAACTACTATATACTGCCACCATGCCAATACTGAAGCAGATCTACCGAATACATAGACACAGAGAGGCAACCAAAATGAGGAGACAAAGAAACATGGCCCAAATGAAAGACGAAGATAGAACTCCAGAAAAAAGAACTAAACAAAATGGAGGCAAGCAATCTACCAGATACAGAATTCAAATCACAGGTTATAAGGATGCTGAAGGAACTTAGTGAGAACTTCAACAAGGAGATAGAAAGCATAAAAAAGGACTTAGAACCCATAAAAAAGAATCTGCCAAAAATGAAGAATATAATAACTGAAATGAAGAATACACTAGAAGGAATTAACTGCAAATTAGGTGAAGCAGAGGATAGAATCAGCAATTTGGAAGACAAAGTAACAGAAAACACCCAATCAAAACAGCAAAAAGAAAAGGAATTTAAAAAATGAGGATTGCCCTAACCGGTTTGGCTCAGTGGATAGAGTGTCGGCCTGCAGACTGAAGGATCCCAGGTTCGATTCCAGTCAAGAGCATGTACCTTGGTTGCAGGCACATCCCCAGTAGGGGGGTGTGCAGGAGGCAGCTGATCCATGTTTCTCTCTCATCGATGTTTCTAACTCTCTATCCCTCTCCCTTCCTCTCTGTAAAAAATCAATATAATATATTTTTTTTAAATGAGGATTCTTTAAGAGACTCCTGGGACAACATAAAGCCTAACAACATCTGCATAATGAGGATTCTTTAAGGGAATCCTGGGACAACATAAAGCCTAACAACATCTGCATCATAGGGGTACCAGAAGAGAAGAAAGAGAGCAAGGGATTGAGAACCTATTAGAAGAAATAAGAAATGAATATTACCCTAATCTGGTGAAAGAATTAGACACGCAAGTCCAGGAAGCACAGAGAGCCCCAAGTAAGATGAACCCAAAGAGGCCCACACTAAGACACATCATAATTAAAATGCTAAAGGTTAAAGACAAAGCGAGAATCTTAAAAGCAGCCAGAGAGCCACACCAGCCAGGTGGTGAAGGGATTTAGAAGTACATATTAGTAGTTACAGAATGGTCCAGGGATGTAAAGTGTAGCAGAGGGAAGGTGGTCAATGATATTCTAACATATGTATGGTGTCAGGTGGGTACTGGCTTTATCTGGGCGATTGCTTAGTGGGTTGTATGATGTCTAATCACTGGCTTGTACATCTGAAGCTAATATTGATGGCAACTGTAATTGAAAAATACACAATTATTTCAAGTCAAAAAATAAATTAAAAAGTCCTCTGGTAGCCACCAAAGGTATGAATAACAGTTACTTTATTGAATCCTTAGGAATCAGTCAGTCCTTATATACCTTCAGGATAGAGGTATTATTCCCATTTTTCTGCTGAGGAAACTGAGGCTCAGAGAGTTTAGGTCAGTGATGGTGAACCTATGACATGCGTGTCAGAGGTGACACACGAACTCATATTTTCGGTTGATTTTTCTTTGTTAAATGGCATTTAAATCTATAAAATAAATATCAAAAATAGAAGTCTTTGTTTTACTATGGCTGCAAATATCAAAAAATTTTTATATGTGACACAACACCAGAGTTAAGTTAGGGTTTTTCAAAATGTTGACACGCTGAGTTCAAAAGGTTCGCCATCACTGGTTTAGGTAGTGGTGAGATCACATGGAGAGCAAGCGATAAGGCTGGGATTTGAACCCAGAGCCTTGACTGCTAAAGCCACACTCCTTCCTTCCCCTCTGCCGGGCAAGCAGGGGGCCATTGGTGGACTCACTGTGCCCGCCAGCCCTTGGCCCTCACCCCAGCCTTCTCTCTTCCGCAGTCCACTCTGGGCTTCGTGGCCCTGGTGCTGAGCACCCTGCACACCCTCACCTACGGCTGGACCCGCGCCTTCGAGGAAAGCCGCTACAAGTTCTACCTGCCTCCCACCTTCACGCTCACGCTGCTGGTGCCCTGCGTGGTCATCCTGGCCAAAGCCCTGCTCCTCCTGCCCTGCTTAAGCCGCCGACTCTCCAAGATCCGGAGAGGCTGGGAGAAGGACAGCGCCGTCAAGTTCACGCTGCCCGGGGACCACGCCCTGGGCCAGAAGACTAGCCACTTGTGAGGACTGCAGCCGGCTCCGACACCAGCCCCGCCAGGACGGCGCCTGCGCCTGTCAGGGCTGCTTTCTTGCTATGGCGTAACTGTGCACAAACCGATGGTTTGAAGCTCAAATTCCTGGGACTCAAACGTATTTAGTAATATTCAGAATGACACGCACGTGTGTGCGATACATAGGTTCATATATATGTCATATATATAACAGGACTTGCAATTATACTCACTAGCTAAAACGTTCAGGCCCTGAGAGTTCCACCTGCAGATCTAAAAGCGAGCGCCAGGTTAGGAGAGCAGCGGCTCACGCTGGCATTGGCGGAGATGCACACACTCTCAGCCCAGGAAAGTCCATGCGGGGATGGTCCCTGGTGGACTCGGCCCATTTGTGCCTCGCACCCCCCTTGGCTGCTTTCCCAAGGCTTTGCAGAGCTGGGCTCTCAGGTGGCAGGGCAGACAGGGTTGGGGTGGGGGATCCTGGTGTCTGTGCCCTGGGACCCAGTTGAGGCCCTTCCTTTGCCAGGTGGGGAAGGGGAAGGAGGGTGGTTGGGCTGAACAGCTCCCCCTACTCCGCCCTGAGCTGGGAGATGTTCCCTCACAGCCAGGAGTCACCACCGCTGCAGATGGACCCTCCTGTGGGCGTGGGAAGGCACCTCCTCCCGGAGGCCTAATGAGCGCGTCTTGAGAACAAGTGGAATTTCTTTCCTCCTTGAAGCTGGTGATGACCGGTCCTGGGACCACTGTGCCTTCTCCCTTTAGATCCTTAGCTTGAGTGTCTGCAGGAAGTCTGGGGCAGGCCCCGCCACGTCCACGTCTGTGCGTGGGGAGGAGACCCAAGGCTTGTTCAGAGTGGCAGCTTCTCTCAGGACCACCCCCCCCACACACACACACACACCCCGTGCCAGGGTCTGCAGGGCTGTGTGTCTTCATGGAATTGGTCCTGTGGGAAACACAGGGTCTCTTCCAATGCCCTCTGCTGCCCCCGGGCACAGAGCCTGCCTCCGAGTGAGTACCCAGAAAGTGCCAAGTTCCTCTTAAAGGAGGGGCACATTTCAAAACAGCTGGGGCGTTTTTTCCACCAAAGCTACAAACTTGAAATTTGCTGCCACAAAGCATAAGAGGCTGGACCACAGCCAGGGCCACAGGACATGTGCCCTTGAGTCATATGCCATCCCTGCCTGATTCACCCTGAAACTGTGTTTACTTCCCCTGTGTATGCTCAGTTCTCCCCTGAGCCCCCCGCCCTGCCCCCCCAGCTCCTGGCAGAGCCAAGGTGTCTATGGTTTCCACACAGAGCCCTCAGAATTCCTGACCCTGAGGGAGACCTGGGAGAGGCACTGTGCTCCCCTCTCAGCGGGGAGTGGGGTCACGCCCACATTTCTTAGGTCTCCTGGGCCAGGGGACTGCAGGCAGAGGGCGCCCTGCCGGGAGGGAGCGGGGGCGGGGCGGAGGGGTGGAGGGAGCTCTGTGAGCTCATATCTGCAGCTCATCAGGGTTTGTTAGTGAAAAGGGGAAAAAAGCCAAGTGCAAGACATCTCATTAGGTCAGTGACTGGACTTCCTACAGATGCTGCCACCTGCCGCTCCTTGCCTCCTAACTGGGCCCTGGTGGAGCAGCCTCAGTGGCCCCCACAGGTCTCTGTGAGTAGGCGGGCGGGTGAAGCCGCGGTTTCAGGACTTTCTGGGCAACCTGAGGGCCCATGCTTCCTGCTAAAAAAAACTGCAACTCACCAGGCTCACCAGCCCCAGGGCATATTGGCTGCCTTCCTTCTCCAAGCCTCCCTGGGCCTGGGGACTGGTCCTTATACCAAAGATGCCGACACAGCCAAGTCCAGTGCACGCCTTCCCTTCCCGCCACATCCCACTGCAGGCGCTCAGGCGGGAAAGGATGCCCAGGTGGGTGGCGGGAGGAGCGGGTGGGAGGACCTCCCCGCCCACCAACTGGATAAGCAGCCCGTAAAAGGCCGGTGGCTGAGGGCCTGGGCGTGGCCTGGGCCTTGTGCCTGATGCTCTTCCCTACCTCACCCAGCAGCTGGCAACAGCACCCCCAAGAGAGCGAGCCACTCTCAGAGCCTGGACAGTCTGTATGCCTCTGGGTGCACAAGTGCCTGAACCAGCGAGCTCTGGGAATCCGAACTGCCACGTCAGAGGTTGTTTAAAATGTATGCATTGAAAGAGTCGTTTTTACCTGTAGAGCTTGTCTAAGAAGCAGCAAAAATAAATATCTACCCTTTGAATTTCAGGCTTTTATTTCTGTCCTGTCGCTCACTCATTAGTTCCTTCATCGAGTTAGCCAGCATGCAAGGTGAGCACAGAATGATCCAGGCTACAGCTCACCTCTGAGGAAGACCTGCAGCAACAGGCCAGTGAGGAAATCTGAGGATCCAAGTGACAAAGTGCAGGGGGAGTGACAGGAGCACCAGCCCGCAGGGGCTGGGAAGGCTCCCCTGAGGGAGCGGTGTGTGCGCGGTGGTCCGAGGCTGCAGCCTGGGATGTGGGCTCGGGCAGCAGTGCCTCTAGAACTGGACTGTGTGTGAGAGTCGCTTAGGGGTCTTGCTCACACACGTCTGGTTCGTTGGTAGGGGCGGAGGCCTGAGACTCTGTACTTTTTCTTTTTTAATTAAATTTCCTGGGGTGACACCGGTCAACAAAACTGTACAGGTTACACGAGCACAATTCCACAGCACGTCACCTGTACACCTACTGTGTGTTCACCACCCAAGCCACGTCTCCTTCCATCACCATTTACCCACCCATACCCTCCTCCAACTCCCCCTACCCACCACCCCACACTCTGATCTGTGTCCATGAGTTTTTGTTTGTTTGTTTTAAATATATTTTATTGATTTTTTTACAGAGAGGAAGGGAGAGGCATAGAGAGTTAGAAACAACCATGAGAGAGAAACATCAATCAGCTGCCTCCTGCATATTCCCTACTGGGGATGTGCCCACAACCCAGGTACATGCCCTTGACCGGAAGAACCTGGGACCCCTCAGTCTGCAGGCCGATGCTCTATCCACTGAGCCAAACCGGTTAGGGCTTTTTTCCCCCCTTTTCTCTCAATCCTCCCACCCCGCCACCCAGTTCCCACCTGCTGCCAGCCTGCGCTCTGCGGAGGGGTCTGTCTCTCCTCGGCTTGATGGCTCATTTTGTTCGTTAGGTTCCACACAGGAGTGAAGGCATGTGGTGCCAGAGGCTGTGCATTTATAAGCTCCCAGGTGACAGGATGGGCTTGATCTGCAGACACTGTAACAGCGTTTAGATGGATTCCTTTGTCGGCTGTGCTGTACCCAACAGCCCACGAACCAGTGCACACAGTCCTCTCTGCCCCCGAGCCTTCCCCAGAACCTGGCGCCCTGGCCAGCCTGGTAAGCCCTGCCTCTGCACACTGCCCTAGGGCTGCAGCCTATTCTCCAAAGGAGGGAGGAAGCCGGCAGAGGCAAGGCCATGGATGCTGATGCCCCAGGTGGCCCCACCCATGGGCCTGGGTCCACCAGGAGAACAGTCACTTCAGAGACCACCCATCATGCATCAGGCTGCTCCCGAAGCAGCCAGAACTGACTTCCTGTGCAGGGAGGGAAAAGGAAACCCATGTGCAGGAAGCAGACTAATGGCTAAAACCGTTTCTTGGGAACAGTCATCAGAAAGAGGGCCTTGCCTCTGAGCCCATGGTAACCGTTCTCCGAAGAAACAACCGTGGCCGGAATACAGCTCCACTACAATGACTGTCACCAGGAAGAACCTCGCGCTTGGAGGTTCGTGTTCTCCTCTGTGTCTTCCCACACACAGCGCTGGGAGAGTTAGTGTAAAAAGAAGTGACAAAATATTTTGATGAAAAATCACTGTTCAAGTCGCTGACATGAGAACTAAGGAGCAACCAAAATAACCCATCTCAGTTAAAGAGCCAAATTATCATTCAGCTATTTGACAAGTTGAAGCTCTTCCACAAGCATTGAAGTGGCCCTTGGTCATGCAGAAGCGCACTTGACCGGCCACTGCCCTGGACTCCGCAGGAGGGAACAGAAACGCAGTCCCACCCGCCCAGCACCAACTTCTCCTAACAAATATGTTGAAAAGCCCTTTCACTAACCTTCAATGAAATTCAGAAATAATGTAACCTACCTATACATATGGTTTTTTAAAAATCACTTTGTCTTCATTGAAATAAAAATTAGAAATTAATTTAGTCAAATATATACTAAAAATGAATAATAATTATAAGTAATGTCCTTGCAATAAATGAGTTTGTTTTAAGAGAAATACAATGATGCTCAATGAAATATCATTTACCCTCTTTATAACTGGCATTTTAAAATAAGGCTTAAAGGGGTGTGTGTGGCCCTAACCGGTTTGGCTCAGTGGATAGAGCATCAGCCTGTGGACTGAAGGATCCCAGGTTCAATTCCAGTCAAGGGCATGTACCTTGGTTGTGGGCACATTCCCATTAGGGAGTGTGCAGGAGGCAGCTGATCAATGTTTCTCTCTCATCAATGTTTCTAACTCTCTATTCCTCTCTGTAAAAAATCAATAAAATATATATTAAAAATAATAATAAAATAAAGGGGTGTGTGTGTGTGTGTGTGTGTGTGTGTGTATGTATGTATGTACTTGAAACTTGGAGACTGGGGAGAAGTTAAGAAGAATGAAGACAAAGAAATGTCCACTGGATTTGGAAATATGGAAAGTTTATGGTGAGAATTTCAGTGGAGTGTTGGGGGTAAAACCAAGATTGGTAGGCGATGAGTGAGAAGTGGGGAGATGGAGACTAGTTCTACCAGCAGCTGAGCTTTGCGGTGGGGTAGCGGAGAGAGGTTGGTCACGGGAAAGCTGGAGGGGTAGGGAGTGGGTGGGTTATTTTTCCTATGGTCCGGGCATGAGCATGATTTCAGGTTCTGAAGAAGAGCGAGGTGAGCAGGCTGCTTGACAGTGAGAGAGAATGAGCTCAGGAAGCGTCAGCAAGGAGCAGACCCTCTTTTCAAATTACGAAAAAAGGCCGCGCACAATGAGGGGAGGGTCAAGCTTTGGTGAGGTGAGTGCGGAAGTCCTCTTCCCATCCTGTCTGCAGCCTTTCTACCAAACAGCCAATGCCACCTCTGAGAGTGACGGGGAAGGGAGGCGGTTTGGCTCTGAGGAGTGAAAAGGGAGGAAAGGTTAAAACAAATTGTTGGAGAAAGTGAACACGGCACTGACCAGAGAAACATGGTGGGTTAGGCAACGACAAACAATCAAACACTTGGTT